GAGAGAGAGAGAGAGAGAGAGAGAGAGAGAGAAAGAATGGACAGATGGACTTTCAGAACTGCTTCAAAAAGTCCAAGAAAAATAGAAATTTTAAAGTGTTTGAAGCAAGGGAGAGTATTTAAGAGGATGAGGAAAACAGGTCTTTACTGTAACACATTTTTAAAAATTTAACCAATAACTATATTTTTCAATTATACCACACCTTTCCTCAAACATTTATCCCTTCTTAGTGGTAAATATATTTTCTTCTTTTTGAAATACACAGTAATTTATTGTTATCTAGTCACCCTACTGAGCAACAGCACAGCAAAACAACACTAGCTGTATTTGTTACTCAGTACCCTTTGACCAAGTACTCCTCATTCTTCTCTCTGGAGCCTCTACTTTCTCCAGCTTGTGGTAACCTCCAGTCCATTCTTACATTATGTGAAAGAACTTATTTTAGATTCTACATGCATGAATACTGCACATAGTTACTTTTTTGTGCCTGATTTATTTCACTTAACAGAATATATTCTAGTTCTAGCCATGCTATCATAAATGACAAAATACCATTCTTTGTGCATTTTAGAATATACCACTGTTTGTAATTATCACATTTTATCAACTTTTCAGTCCATGAACTTAGGTTGCTTCCATTTCTGGGCTGTTACGGAGTAGTGCTACAATAAACATATGTAATCTGAACTTCTGAATCTTTATATGTGAAGCCTTTATTCTCTTGGGAGGTTTTGGATGCTTATTATCTTTGATGATTTTGATTTTAAAAACAATGGATCTTGGCATAGTTTTCAGTTACTATTTGACATCTATTACATACCTTCAATCTGGAATCCTGTGGTCCTTTTTCTTTTTTTGGGGGGGTGGGGGAGGGGGCAGAACCAGGGATTGAACTCAGGGCCCTTGTGCTTGCCAGGGAAGTGCTTATTCCACTGAGCCATCTCCCCAGCCCTGGTTTTTTCTTTTTTTGGTAGAACCTGGGATTGAACTCAGGCCCTTGCACTTGCCAGGGAAGCACTTATTCTACTGAGCTATCTCCCTGGCCCTGTAGATTTTAATTCTAAGATGTTCTCTCTTTTTAAAAAATCTTTATTTATTTGGTACAAGGTCTTACTATGCAGCTCAGACATGTACTGATCCTCCTGTCTCAGCCTCCGCACTGCTAGGATTACAGGAGTGTGCCATTACACCAGGTTTCAGGGGCCAGCACTGTGTGCCTGTGGTTCTGGGGTCAGCATGTGGTACCAGGGATCTAACTCACATTCTTGTGCTTGCCAGGCAGGCACTTAGACTGCCAAGCTATCTCCCCAGGCCCCTAAGATGTTCTTAATATATCTTTACTTAGTCTTTATTTCCCTTTCCATTTTGCCATTTCTTAGAATAAGGAACAACCCAGACTGGTGTTTAAACTTCTTACCTTTTCTTTTCCATTAAACTTTTCTTGATGTGATATACTTTCTAGATTTTATTTTATTTTTTTTTTGAAACAGTCTCACTCTTAGCCCAGGCTGAACTCAAACTCACAATGATCCTCCTGCCTCAGCCTCTGGAGTTCTGGGATCATAGGCATGTGACACCATGCTCAACAGGATTTTTTCAACTTGACCTTGTAGTATTTCCAGTATTTTTCTTTCTCCTTTCTTTTTGAGACAGGGTCTGGCTTATGTAGGCCACAATGGCCTTGAACTCACAGTAGTCCTCTTACCTCAGCCTCTCGAGTGCTGGGATTAGAGGCATGTGTCACTACATCTAGCTCCAATATTTTAAAATTTTAGTTCTGATGTCACTTAATATCGTAGAACAATGAATTTTATTTTTTAAAAAATAGTATTCAGGGGCCGGGGAGATGGCTCAGTGGAGTAAGCGCTTCCCTGGCAAGCGCAAGGGCCTGAGTTCAATCCCTGGTTCCACCCAAAAAAAAAAAATAGTATTCAGTTCTTTTTAATTTTTTTTATGTATTTAGTACAGGGTCTACAGGGTCTCATTACACAGATCAGACTCTTAGTGATCCTCCTGTTTTCAGCCTCCCAAGCGCTGAGACTACAGGCTCACGCCACCACACTCAGTCCTTAATATTCAGTTCTTTTGTGAATGTAATTTCTTTTTTGCAGATATTGTAATTTTTGTCTTTGTTTTCACACAGGATCTCACTCTGTAGTTCACATTGGCCTCAAACTCATGGTAATACTTCTGGCTCAATCTACGGAGTGGAGGTGGGTGTCATAATGCCTAGTAATATTAGAATTTTTGAGGTTGTTTTAAATTTGGTCCTTTCTAGAGCCTACTGCTTCTATTTTTATCTCTCACAGAGGAAGCTTTCTTCGAAGGGGATTTTTAGTAATTATTATGAAGAGAGACGCATTGAAAAGCTGTTTGGAAACTGCGCATGGGTGTGTTTTCTAGACAGGTGGGCTTCAATGAAGTGTTATCAAAATGATCTGCATTGGTAGAAACTTGCAAATCTGCCAGTTTCCTTTTTTGTATTTAGTACAGGGTCTCCAGGGACTCACTACCCAAATTGGACTTGTAGTGATCCTCCTATTTACAGCCTCCCAAGTGCTGGGATTACAGGCATGCACCACCATGACCAGTCTCAGCACACAGCTTAGGGATCGAGTCCCCCCACCCCTCCTGCATTTGCCTAAGCAGGCGCTTTAATCCACTGACCCATTTTGCTGTCCTTTTTTTTTTTTTTTTTTGAGGCTATCAAATTTCTTTAGGTATCAGTCTACCAATATCCTGCTGGATGAAAGAAGAAATAAGAGTTAGAAGTATTCCTCACTACTAAAAGCAATTGGAATGGAGGTGGAAGAGAATCACATTTCAAAATTTGATTTCTGGGGCCGGGGAGATAGCTCAGTAGAGTAAGCGCTTGCCTGGCAAATGCATGGGCCTGAGTTCAATCTCTGGTTCTGCAAAAAAAAAAAAAAAAATTGATTTCCTAGATTTCTGGCCCATGTCCCATTTTGTCCTCAATTATTTGTGGCATCTTTAAATTTAGTATTTTCCATCATTTTCAAGTCAAAAATAAACCTGCCTTCTGCTAGGGAGAAGAACCAACTTGCTTCTTCTTAAATCTTGAAACAAACATCATGTCCAACTTTTTTAGACCTTATGTTGACCTTTCTCTTCTGGAATATAACACTTTACCAGTTCCTGTCTTTCTGGTGTTGGCTGCTAAGTACTGACAACTGCTTTCCAGCTCTAATGAGTTTTGTTTTGGCACAATATGCTGACACCTACTCATCTGGCTGCCTTCTGATTTTTGTTACCTCCTGCATAGATTTAATCTTTCGTATTTCCATATTCTTGCTCTAGTGGGATTTCCAAGAAATGAGGAAAAAAATGCTCCGTTCACCTTATATTTCATTATTATAAGCCTTTCTAGCTAACATATAAGATGTAAATAATGCAGAACAAAGCATTCTACTAGGAAAAATAAAAAAAGAAAACCATGAAATGACTGATAACAAATTTCTTTGAAGTAAGTTTGGTAAGGGAAGGACAGGAAGAACATGAGTATTTTGAAGAGCTCAAAGGTGAAGAGGACTAGCATATACAGGAACCAGATAGACTAAACCAATTTTGTCCCAGTTCTTTTCATTTCCTATAAGTACTTAAGTCAGGCTGGGAATGTAGCTCAGTGGCCGAGTGCCTGCTTGGCATGAACAAGGCTCTCCTAGGTACAATTGCCAGGACTGCAACAATAACAAAGCTCTTAAGGTTCAGAACAAAGAAATAATAAGTATGCTATATAATTAACCTTATACACTAAGGCTGATTCAAATAGCTAATGAATCTTACATATAAAGCTGACAAATTCTGGCAATAAAAATAGAAGTTTGGGCAAATTAACTTACTTGTGTGGAGTCTGTCAGACCTCTGGAAAGACTTCTTCCCCAAGCTTATCAATGGATTTTCCACTTTAACTGAAGAAGAAAAGCTGGAGTGTGAGTTCTGGGGGCTGCTTGACTGTCCATCAGATTGCCTTCCTTCCCATATTACTGGGGGCAAAAAATATGTAAAGACTAGTGGCACTGAGGTTAGAGACAAAAATCAATCATTCCATGTTAACTAAAGAGGGTTATACATAAGGAACTGGTCCTGCAAATGGGTTTTCAGTCTGGGAAAGTAAAAATAATCTCTCTTACTTCCAGCATACTAAGTAGTTCTGGTGATCAATTTTTCCAACAAAAAAGGAGAGTTCTTCAAGGCTCCTAACTCTGACTCTACAGTAGATCCATACAATCTGCTTATGGCATCACTCTCAATTATAAGTATAGGTAAACCATAAAACAAATAATAACAGCAAAATCTAAAAGGTATGCAAACATTCCAATGGAAACTGAAAGGCAGTATGCATTCTTAGAAAAATTTCTTATTTTTAAAGGACAGAACTACCAAAGAAAATTCATTTTCACCCTCTTGGAAACTATGGACTTATCTGTAAGGTGTTATGGTTTATGTCTACATGTCCCCCCTCAAAGCCTCATGGAGTGATGGGGCCAGCCTTTCAGAGGTAACTGAAATCTAGTTTGTGATTGATTCATGATCCAATGATGGGATTAAGGTTGTGAGTGCCATACCCACCCTACAGCAGGTAGCTTATATACTATATGAGGGACAAGAAAAAAATCTTGTTCCTCTTCCTTATTACTTTTGCTATCTTCCACCATAATGAACTGTTGCCCCTTAAGTCATGTGACACACCCAGCCTTGGAGTCAGTTCATTATGGACTGAAACTTCTATGAACTGTGAGCTACAAACCTTTTCCCTCTTTTCACTGTGGGTGTTGGGTATTTTGTCTCAGCAATAAGAAAAGACAAAATTTACTGGGGCTGGAGAGATGGCTCAGTGGTCTAAAGCACCTACTTGGAACAAGCTTGGAAAAGCACAGGGACCACGGTTCCATCCCCCAGCACCACATGCCAGCCAGCTGCGCCCCCTGGTGGGCTGAGCTGGCCACACACACACACACACACACACACACACACACACACACTAAATAAATGTTAAAAAAAATTAAAAAAAAAAAAAAAAAGACAAAATTTACTGATTAGATGCTTCCAAATATTATGTCAGATATACTCGAAGTTAGTCATGTACTGCCTTCTCACATGCTATTCCCATTAATGAGCCTGTTAAAGAAAACTACTGCATATGTTTATTTACCATAAAAATTTTCCCACTTGAACCAGAAGAATTGATATTAATGACATGACAGTATAAAGACTGTATAAGTAAACGCAGCAATTTAAAAATAAGTGATATAATATACAAATTTGTAACACAAATACAAACATAATGGGAAAAAGAAACTTCCATTAAAAAAATGCCCTGACTGCTTACCAGGTTTGGGAGATATGGAGTCACCAGCTGCTCTGACAGTCTTGAGAGAGAGGTGCTGGTTGGAGGAGACTGACAAGCCTGGCCTGCATTGTTGCTGTTGCTTCTTCTGCTGCTGCTGCTTCAGAGCCTATAGAGAGAAAGTAGAGTGTAAGAAACAAAGCAGTTTTTAATAATAAAAACGAAATGACTTGTTTTTAAGTAGGGAGAAGCATGCTTATAATTCAATTTCTTTAAAATCTATCAAACCAAACAAAAACCTACATTACCATCAAACACAAGGCTTAAATAAAATAATCTTTGGCATTTGGCTATTTTTGTGAAGAATAGTCATGAACTTTTTTTCCTAACTTAAAAATCACCACGAAGCCAAAGATTCTGCAATCTAGTTTATCAGAGAATTGTATAGTTTTAAATCATCTCCAGAAATAGAATTTTAAGTCCTTTACCAAGAAGAATTCTATTTTCATCAATACTACATAGAAATGGAAATATTTATCTTATCTATGGTTCAGAGATGCTACATTTGAAACAAAGATTGTAAATAACAATTTAAGTTTTCTTAAAAGCAATGAAACGTCACCAAATTTTATGAATTACTAAATCTCAACAATTTAAGCAATGCAGTAAACAAAGAGAAGGAAGAAAGGACAATACTGATCCTAAGAACAGAGTGGTACCTTCCGGTTACTCCAGATTATTTTTATTTCTGTGAGACTCTTAAATTACAAGAATACCTTTACACAGAAAAGCCAAAAGATCACATAACTAACTAACTAACTAACTAACTAACTTACTTTCTAATGTATTTGGTACAGGGTCTCACTATGCAGCTTGGTCTCACAGTGATCCTCCTATTTTCAGCCTCTCCAGCTTTTGGATTACAAGTGTGGGCCACCACACCCAGTCTCAGTGGCCCCCAAGGATGGGACTGGCGATTGAACCCTGGTCCCGGCGCTTGCCTAAGCAAGTGCTTAGTCTGCTGATCTCGTCAGCCCTAAGATCCCTAAACCTTAATCATGAAAATGTATGGGACAACTTGTTAACTGAAGGGGAAAGTGACTGTGATGCAAAAAGTAATTTCCAGAAAAAAATGCAGATCTATGACTTTACTAGGTTGTTTTTGTTTTGTTTTAGTATTGGAAATTGAACCTTTGTTTGCTTGGAGCTATATCCTCCACCCCCTTTTAGACAAGGTCTTTTTTTTTTTTTTTTTTTTAAGACAAGGTCTTGTTAAGTTGCTAAACTGCACAGGATGGACTTGACCTTGCAGTCCTGCCTTCATGTTCCAATGCTAGGATTACGTGCATGTGTACCAGAACCTGTCCAATTTTAAGCTTTCACTTTCAGGACCATCAAGCAGAAATGAGCAATGAGTTATATTTCGGTTTTCCATTCCCTTACCATAGCATACTTCCCTTCTGTTTTAACAATCAGACAGTATCTCAGGCTATGCTTAAGAGGCAGTGGCAACAACTGGCCTGCTGGCTTTAAACTAAATGACAATGGAGAAATGTTAAATCAGCTAGAGCTCTGATTTAGATTCCCTTACACCATTTATAATAGGTGAGGTAGAAGTGCTGAGTGTAAAAAGTGACCAGATTAAGGTTTATTCTCTCATTCTTTGGAATCAAACCAGAAGCTGTCGATAGGCTTCCCAAGTGGTGAGTTAAGGGAATTCATGCTTTGCTCCTCATAGTACCACTGTCATTCCAGGCTAATAGAACCACCACCTATCTAATCCTGCTGTGATCATTTAAATCCTGATATGAGACAGAAGCAGAATAATTTAGACTACTTGAATCAAGAACTACACACAGTTCCTTGCCCCTTGACAATTTACAAACTCTAATTTTTTGTTTTTGGGTTGTTTTTTTTGTTTGTTTTTTTGAAACAGGGTCTCACTATATAGTTCAGGATGGCCCTGAACTCACTAATGATCTTTCTGACTCAGCCTCCTGAGTGCTTCAGATGTATGCCATCCTGTCCAGGTTTTTTTTTTTTTTTTTTTGGGGGGGGTACCAGGAATTGAACTCAAGACCTTGTGCTTGCCAGGCAGGCACTGTGCCACAAGCTACATCCCTGACCCCCACACTCACAGCTTTAATTCCTTTTTGAATTGCTTTTAATTCATAGTGATTCTCCTGACTCAGTTTCCCAAGTGCCACCACAACCATCTCTATTTTAAAATTAATAAAAATGCAATGACAAGAACCCCTAATCTGTGAAGTAATTTTTCTTACCTAAACTAGGAAAAACATATTAGAGACAAGAATTTAAGTTTAAATACCACACTGACAAGCCCTAAAGAAAACCTGACAGTTGACTGTTAAAATAAGAGCAGCTGTAAAGCCAAAAGATCCCTAAACTAACTAACGCCATAATTCTACCACTTGGGAGGTGAGGTAGGATTGCTGTGACTTAAGAGGGCAGCACTGGGTACATAGTTAGGCCTGCTTGAGCTACAGTGAGACCCTGTCTCAAAAACACTCTAACCTAACCCCTAAAAGCAGTACGCATTTATGACTATGTAGTTCAGGATGGTCTTGACCTCACTATGATCCTTTTGCCTCAGCCTCCTGAATACTGTGACTACAGGTATATGCCATCACGCCCAGGATTGTTATGAGTGTGAGATCAGCCTGGGCTACAAAGTGAGCTCAAGGCCAGCCTAAGCTGCATAGCAAGACCCTATCTCAAAAAGACAAAAGGCAAAACAAAATAAAACATAAATTCCCAAATGTTCAACTGCTTAATCATGGGATATCAGCATTTAAAAACTTGTATTTCACCAACAAATGAATAACCACTTTTCTACACAATTGCCAATGATTGATATAATTAAGCTCCTTTATACCAAAATCTGAGAAAAGATATAATCTGTCATTTTCAATGTTTCCCTAATTCTTAGTCAGTTTATGTAGTGAGTGAATATTCTTTAAAGAAATCCAAAGCTAATTCCTTGAAAAGCCCAAGAAAATGGAAAAAAAGTAATACTGGAGGAGAAAAAAACCATAAATGCACAACACTGCTAGGGTAGGTGGAAAGGCATACAGGTTATTCTGTACAACTTTATACCAATATCTGCAAAAATAGGCAAAGTAGACCATTTTGTAAAAAAAATAAATTTCCAAAACTGGCTTTCCAAGCAGGAAAATCAAATCAGAAAAAAAGTAACAGGTGATATTGTAATGCTAGAATGATTTTGTAAAAGGTGTTATTTACTAACTTAGGAAAAGATAATTTCTGTAATTGTGTCCACAATCAAGAAAGAGAACTATAAAACTTACTTATACTTTATTCTTACTACTCAGATCAGACTCGTAGTGATCCTCCTGTTTTCAGCCTCCCAAGAGCTGGGATTACAGGCACATGCCATCTTGCCCAGTCTTAAAACTTACTTTATGCTACAGCAGTCTTTAATTAAAACCATATCAGGATAGTACAAATACAATGTTAGATCCAAACTAAAATCTTAAGAAAATTTCCCAACATTATTTCTAAATATATGTAAAGAAGTGGTTGAAAGGTTGAGTATAGCATATATTTGAAACTAGCTATGCCATTCTGTGTCAGTGTAAAAGAGAAAATTCTATTTGATGATCTCAATAAAATCCAAAGAAAACAAACCTAAAAACTCAAATCCTCTTCATAATTTAAAAATTATATATACAATAACACCAAAAAACCTGCTTAGTGAGCTAGAAACTTTAAAAATATAATAAAAGCACCTAAATAATCCTCCATGGGAAAAAAAAAAATCCTCCATGGGAATTATGTAAAGAGGTGCATAAGTTACTAATGCCTAATTGGGAAGAAATGGTCCAATGTTAAAGCTTCTCAAAGACTGCATTTTTAACATAGGGGATAACCCTTCTGATGAAGAGAATAGCCATGCTTACCTGCTTCAGTGCCTTCTTGCTGTGCTTCTGTGATGGAGAAATGACTTTACCTCCTGGAATGGTGGGTGACGGACAGCCTGACTGAGGGGAAGATGGCTGGGATAGTCTGGATACTATGAGAAAGAAGGACAATGAGAAACTGTGTTTTTATCAGAGTTGGTATCAAGCACCATTCCAGTCCCATGCCATATGCTGCTACCTGTGTTAAGAACTGTGACCAAAATACTTTTGGAAAGGATCTTCTTTTTAGAATTCTACTGCCAAGAGCCTCCCTTTTCAGTTTATTTCCTCAGAAAGTTCTAGTAAAGGATGACAGGAAGTTATTATGCATTAATTTCATTCTCTGAATTTTCAACAACTGATTAAATGAGAAACAAGTAAAGTATAATCATCCAATTAGATAGGAAATATCCTAGGAATCTTCAGACAGTCTCAATGTTCCTAAGGAAAATCTGAAGGTGAATCATGACAAAATGATACAGTGTGAAGCTATGGATCAACAGTTTAAAATACACACAATAAGGCCATTTGACCTCAGAAGCTCTGCCACACGATTTTTAATTTATTTGGTACAGGGTCTCCCTATGCCGCTCAGACCCATAGTGATCCTCCTATTTTCAGCCTCCTCAGTGCTGGGATTACAGGCACACATCACCATGCCTACTTTCAGTGGCTGGCTCGGCACACCCAAGGATGAGGCCCTCATGGCATTGTGTGCCAGGGATCGGACCCTGGTCTCTGCCACAGTTTTAAGCCTTATATTCTTTCAACTCTCTAAATCAATAGCTTTAAGGCTTATCAGTGTGAGAGGGCATTTGAAGATTCTTCTAAAGGAAGTGCCAGTCAATGCAACACCACAAGACCACTTGCTATTTCTTTACAACCTGTTAGGTACTGCCTGTCAGAGGTTGGCCAAATATGAGTCATATGATAAAAAAGGGTTCTTCCTTTATGGTATATAAAGTTTGACAGTTCTTGAGTACTGTTTATGATAAAGAAATACAAAGAAACTGCTGACTTAGACTCCTTACGAAACAAAAAAAAAAAAAAAACACTGCAATCCCTCTTGCTTAGTGATGACTACTCAGTGCATGTTTACTACTGTCCCCCTATTCTGCAGTAGCTGAATTGAAAAGGCACTGTAACAAAATGGCATCCTGCAATAAGGCCAGTAAGTTTTAGCTATCTTATGGCTATAAGATGAAAACAAATAGTTTATTAGAACATTTCAATTCACTCTTAAATATTTTAAGAAATACACAACAGATACACTTAAAGAAGGTAGCCACAGACAAAAGCAGGAAAACTTATCTTTAGTTCTGTGCCTCAATCTTTATGAAAAAGCTTCTATATGGTAGACACTAACATATACTACTATGATCTATCTTCCTCTCTATTTGTGGAAGTGGGTGTTGAACTCAAAGCTTCTAAGCAAACAAAACAAAACAAAAATTGTTTACAGCAACATATTTGTAAAACAAAAACTGGGTAACTCTGGAAATGGTTGAACAACAAAAAGAAATCGTATCTTTGATGTACTATGATGATGACCCAAAGATTTTTTTAAAAATGTTTAAGATATAATTTATATAACATATAAATTCACCTATTCAAAGTATAAAATTTAATGATTTCTGGCACTGCATTAACAAAACCACGTAACCATGACAACCATCAATTTTCACATATCTCCATTCCCTGGGACACCTACCTGTCATCTATATTCCTCAGTCCTACTGGATTTCCTACTCCAGAAACTCCATGTAACAGTTCTGTGACTAAAGTTTTTACTAAGTATAACATTTTAAAGGTTGTGATGTGTAAGAACTTCATTCTTTTTTAACTTTTAATATAACAGTGTATGCACATCCCATGTTTTATTTACTAGCTAAGAACACTTGGATTATTTCCTTTTTAATTGAAAGAATATAAACATTTCTGAGTACTAGTATTTCCCCATATTTTGCCTTACATTTCCTGAAGTTTCTGCTTTATAAAATTTGTGGTCACGTCTTATTAACTATTATGTTGTATCTTCATTATGAACCAAAGTATGTGACTGCCACACCATTTTCAGTATACAGTGATACTTTGGTTGTTGGACACAGTTCATATTTGTGTTTGAACACCAAAAAGTTTGAGAACTGAACAATTTTCCCCATAAGAAAAAATAGAAAACCAAATAACTGGTCTTGAGGCCCCCAAAATTACATGTATCAATTTATTTTTCTAGGACTGTTACAAATTTTACATATTTTTTCTTTCTTCAACTCTTATGGTCCTCACCATTTTCCTCTTAGTGTCACCAATTTTCTTTGGTGCCATGGTCTGATGTTTTAGGCAAATAATGTACACTATGTTATTTCTATTTCAAATCTTAACATTACTCATGTGTCACCAAAAAGTCTGCTGGTTCCCAGGCTAAAAGTATTTGAGATGAGAAGCCATCTCAATTTAGTAATTTATTTAAATTTTTTTTTTTTGGTGGAACTGGGGATTGAACTCAGGCCCTTGCACTTGCCAGGCAAGTGCTTTTTCTACTGAGCTATCTCTCTGGCCCCAGTAATTTAACTTTCCAAAGATTCAGGAAAACATTTACTTTTAAAAATTAAGTTTAGAAATCCCAAGTTCAATCTCTGGTACTTCAAGGAAAAAAAAAAAGTTTATTGATACAATTTTAATATACATAATAATCACAGGTCTGGCCCTAGTATGAATTGCTGAATCATTATGGTGTTCATCTAATATGGCTGAAGCCCTTAAAACAACAGCTTATCTTCCAAGAGATCACCTCCCCTATTCTTCTCCAACCCAACCCAATTGAGGGTACAATTTCCTCTCACCTTTCCCATGTACTAAGGAGAGAACCCAATCACCTCCTTACATATAATTAAAACTAACTAACTCTACCCCAGGTCAAAAGTCCATGAAAGCCTCAGTTTTCTTTGTCTCAGGCCAGAGGATCTCCACCATCTGCCCTTGATCCTTTCCATGTCTTTGGAGTAAATAAAAGCTTCTTTCATCTTCCTATCTCTTTACTGTGCTGCTGAAAAACCTATATTGGTGTTGTGGAACCTATCACATGATGTGTCTTAGTTCCTCTTTCCCCCCCCTCTTTTTCCTCCCCTCTTTTCAACCCTGCATCCCCTCATTATTTACAAAGCTTTGCTTCCATTTTATCTTTTTCTCATTTTTTTTTTCTTTAGGAAAACAATTTCTGTACATTCTATTTCAACTATCCCATAAGTCTCTGAATACTTTACAACTTAAACAAATAAATAAACATTAAAAACTATGGTTCCTCCAATTAGTCAGCTTTCCACTACTGTGGTGTTTAGGAGAATCTTTGGTCTCAAACACAAAAAAACAAACATGGTAGAAGCATGATATAGGTTTTAAATAGACTCCAATTTTCCAACCCAGTGTAACTACAAGAAAAGTGGCAGATTTTTTCAGGTGCCTGGTGCAGCAGACACAGACAGAAAAAAGGGAAAGGGGCTTTATTATCTTTGAGGACATGGAGAGAATCTAGGGAAGACAAGAGATTCTCTGGATTGGAACAAAGGGAGGCTGAGGCTTTTATGGCCTTTTGCCATGAGTGGAGTTTCAGGGGTTGTTTAGTGTACCCGAGGAGCTGGAGATCTTCCCTGAGGCAGTGGGAAGGTGACCTGTAAGCCCAACTATTTGGGAGGTAGAGGCAGGAAGACTGCAAATTCAAGGCTAGCTTGGGCAACTCAGAAAAACCCTGTTGCAAGATAAAATACAGAAAGGGTTCGGGAATGTAGCCCAGCAGTTAAGTACCCCTGGTTGTTCAATCCTTCTGAGGCTCTGAGGGAAAGTGGTCCATCCCTCTCTTTCAACTTGTGGTGGCAATTGTTAGTTTTCCTTGGCTTGAAGATGAACCACTCAGATTGTCTTGGTGTATCTCCAGCTCTTCAATGGCCCTTTGATAGCACCAGTCAGGATAGGCTAAGTTAATTCCCAAACTAATCTCCAGATAAAAGTGACATTCTGAAGTTTTAAGGGTTAGGACTTCAACAATATCATTTTATGGTGGTATAATGTGAACCCTAACACTCATCTTTTATTTATAAAGTGTGTCTGTGCATGTGTGCTTCTCTTCCTCTTCTTTCTCTCAGTATAGTTTATAAAGGGTGAGGGAATTCTCCCGTGTCCCTTTATAGTCATCCTACTTGATCTCTATGTCTTCACCTGACTTCTTTCTCCTGTCTTATTCATTTTCAAGTTTTCTTTTCTTTCCTCTCACCCTTTTTATCTCTTTTTAACTTTGTCCCTTATATTTATATTGGTCACGAACCTTCTCCCATCCCCATTTCTCACTACCAATTTTGTATCCAGTTTTCTGCTATCCCCTTATAAATATATAACACATCCTGATCATCATGAGGATCCTTTGTCCTCTATTTTCTCCTTCCCAGACAATAGAACAGTATTTAAAAAACAAAACAAAAACCCCACCATTTTTTCTCTTCTTTTTCCCTCTGTGGCATTACCTGATCCCCAACCCCCTAGGGCTTTTGATAACTGGTTCTATAAAACTGTTAAATGCAGTTTTTTGTTTGTTTGTTTGCCATTACAAAAGATACAGCCACTGCCTTTAGTGCATATTAACTGTGGATCAACACTTGGGTTGGGAAACATGACAGGGGCAAGACCATACATTTATAAGCACAAGATGGTTAAGGCAATGATCCTGAGAATCTTCAGCAGGTTTTTGAAACTAGCAGTTAATTGGTAGGATTCTCACCCTGACTAACTATATGCTGATACCTGTGAACTAAGCAACTAAACTGAATAGCAATGAATAGCAATACCAGAGTTGTACTTGGAATACCTGTCATTCTGATCTTCTAAATATGTACTACTTGTCATGTCATATCTATTACTGCTACACTGTCTCTCAAGTTAATGTTTAAAAAACAAAAAGGGTAATAAATGAAAACAATGACAAGAAAAAAATGTCATAGGACTGTCCTGCTACAATGCTGTATATGGTTAGATTTCTAAATTTCTGTGTAAAAATGTTATTGTTTATTCCAATTTTTAAAAATATCTTTTCATTTATTTTTTCCTCTTCACATTCTGTAGAGTT